CCCATTGTGGTTTTGATTTGCATCTCTCTTATTGCCAGTGGTTGGAGCATTTCTTGATGTGTCTGTTTGCCATTTGAATATCTTCCCCTGTGAAAATTCTTTCTGTGTCTTTTCATTGTGGAGGCCCAGGAGTATCCTATAAACTTTCGTTATAAGACTCTTGTTTGAGATGGTTTTACCAAATGTTTGTTCTCATTTGGTAGGTTTTCTTTTCATACTGTTCAAAAAAGTTTTTGATGCACACATGGATTTAATCTTTAGAAGGTCTCATTCATTAATTTCATCTTCTTCAGATGATTAATTTCTGGCTGTATTTGGCAGTCTCCTTATACCTTGGACTAGCACTTCTAAGTTTGATCTCAATTTGTCTCTTAAGACCTTTATGGTTTGGGACACTACTCTCAGGTCTCTGATCTACCTTGAGTTGATTTGTTTGTATACTATGAGATGCGGATCCTGCTTAAGCATTCTGCAGGTGGAAGTCCAGTTTTGCCAGCACCATATGTTGAAGAAGTTGTCATTTCCCCATTTGATAGGTTTTATGTCCTTGTTGAATATCAGTTGACCATAGATAGGCGGATCTATTTCTGGGTTCTCAGTTCTGTTCCATTGGTCTATGTGCCTGTCATTGTACCAGTACCTTGACGTTTTGGTTATTACTGTGGTGTCGAAGGTTTTGAGGTCAGGGAGTGCTATGCCTCCCACTTCATTTTTGTTTCTCAGATGTGTTTGGATTATTTGGGGTCTCTTGCTTCTCCAAATAAATATGATAATTTCCCTTTCAATATCCTTGAAAAATTAATTTGGTAATCTGGATTGGGATTGCATATAGATGAATACGTAGACTGCTTTTGGTAGGACTGTCATTTTCACGATATTGAGTCTCCCTATATATGAACGGAGAACATTTACCAATTATTTAGGTATTTTGGTGTGTCTCTGTAGTTTTCTTTGTATAAGCTCTGTAGTTTTCTTTGTATAAGTCTTTTGTATCTCTAGTTAGTTTCACTCCCACGTATCTCAATTTGGGGTTGGCTATTGTAAATAATATTGCTTTATTGGTTTCCTTCTGTGAGTTCTCTTTGTTACTGTAGAGGAATCCCACTGATTTTTTTTATATTGAATTTATATCCTGCCACTCTACTAAATTGGCCTACCAGCTCTAACAGTGTTTTTGTTGAGTCTTTGGGGTTTTCTTTGTACACTATCATATCATCTCCATAGAGCAACAGTTTAACCATCTCTTTGCTGATCTGGATGCCTTTTTATTTCCTTCTCTTGTCATATTGCCTAGTAAGCACTTCCAATACAATACTGAATAGAAGTGCTGACAGTGGGCATCCTTGTCTGATCCCTGCTCACAAGTAAAATGCTTCTAGTCTTTCTCCATTGAGAATTATGTTGGCCCGTGATTTTGCATATATAGCATCAGGATGGATGATGAAGAGATTGCGATTGTTCACAGCTTTAGTTTGCTTGGCTCCACTCTTGGCACCAGCAGCCAAGAAATTAAAAGACATATTGCCATGGCAAAGTTTGCTGTTAGAGACCTCTCCAAAGTACTGAAGAGCAATGGTGTCTCTCTGGAAACTAAGGTGCGTTTGATACAGGCCATGGTCTTTGCTATCACTTGTTATGCATCAGAAAGTTGGACAATGACTAAGGAGGATAGAAGGAGAATTGATGCCTTTGAGCTGTGGTGCCGAAAACGAGTATTGAGGGTACCATGGACTGCTAGGAAAACAAACAGATTCATCCTGGAAAGGGTTAAGCCAGGCTGCTCCTTGGAGGCAAGGATTCTGAGGCTCCATCTAACATACTTTGGACATGTTGTAAGGAAGGACCGGTCCTTGGAGAGGTCCTTGGAGGAACAGCGCAGGAAGGGAAGGCCCTCTATGAGGTGGATTGATTCAGTGACTGGGTTAATCAGGATGAGAGTGTCAGGGACAGAGCGTTTGGCACAGGACAGAGCAGAGTTTAGGGCTGTTGTACATAGGGTCGCTATGAGTCACAAGCAACTCTATGGCATACAACAACAACTATTCACTAGGTTGAGGTTATCCCCTTCTATTACAATTTTGCTGAGTGTATTTATTAGGAAAGTATGTTGGATTTTTGTCAAATGCCTTTTCTTCATCAGTTGCTTTGATCATGTGGTTCTTGTTATTTATTTTGTTAATGTAGTGAATTATGTTGATTGTTTTTCTTACTTTGAACCATCCTTGCATACCTTTTATGAATCCCACTTGGTCATGGTGAACTATTTTTTAATGTGGATTTTTTTATTCTGTTAGCTAGGGTTTTGTTAAGGATTTTTACATCCATATTCATGAGATATATTGGCCTGTATTTTCTTAGTATTATCCTTGCCTGGGTTTGGTAATAGCTTTATGCTTGATTCACAGAATGACTCTAGGAGTGTTCCTTCTTTTTCAATATTTTTAAATAATTTAAGCGGAATTGGTGCTAAATTGTCTCTGAATGTTTGGTACAATCCAGCAATGAAGCATCTGGTTCAAGACTTTTCTTATAGGGAAGTCTTTTTATTATCTCTTCAATTTCTTCTCTTGTGATGAGTCTGTTCAAGTGTCTATATCTGTCCTTGTCAATAATAGTAGGGCATGAGTTTCAAGGAATTTGTCCATTTCCTCTAGGTTTTTAAATTAAATTAAATTAAATATAGCTTTTCATAGAATTCTGATGTTCTTGTTATTGTTGTTGTTATGTGCTGTCAAGTCACCTGTGACTCATAATGACCCTATGTACAACAGTACTAATCCCTTCTCTATCATGTACCATTCTTATTGTTTCTGACACACATACCCCCATAACCCCAGTCACTGAATCAATCCATCTCATCAAGGGTCTTACTCTCCACTCTGTTCCTCCACACTTCCAAGCATGACATCCCTCTCCAAGGACTGGTCCCTCCTTGCAACATATCCAAACTATGTCAAAGCAACATCCCAGGATCCCAACTCAATCCCAAGAAAAAAGAATACATTTGCATCCTGTATCAGAAATACTGGCTGATGCCAGCAGCTGGACTGCAGTGAGAGGCCTGAGAAACAGAGGTAGGACTGAAATAAATGTCCCCTTGGCTAAACTCCCATGTGGAAAGTTACAAAGCTAAGAGAAAATGTCTATGTGTCAACTCATCCCACCCAAAGAGAAAGAGGACATAATGCAAGTATCAAGTGGAATAAGACGTTTTAATATTTTGTTGTTTTGTTTTGCCTCTGGAAGCCTCTAAATGGGCTAGGATCACTGGTTTTCTCCGGAACAAAGTGGTGCACCATGGCTGTGTTCATGGTAGTCATTGGCTATGTCTCCCAATGTGGCAAGAAACTCAGAGAAATCAATCTCATTATCTCGATTCTTGTCGTGTTTCTCAAAGACATTAGACAAATAGTTTTTGCCCCTTTTATCCTGTAGGAATAAAAACATACAAACAAGAAAATTCCATCATTAGCAATTCCTCATGTGAGATGGAGAACAACAGAACCAAGAGGTGGGGAACACATCTAAGTCAGCTTCCATGGGCAATGATAGTTCAGCAGCAGTTTCCACTCCACAAGGGAGAGCTGAGTTCAGTAATGAGCCAATGTACTTCATGTACAGCCACTACTACTCTGACAGTGGAGATGTGGCCTGACAGGGAGCTAACAATAACCCCGTCCAGCAGGGAAATGTGAAAAGGAGTCTTTGGGAAGCAATGAAATACCTCAAAGAAATCAAACACCTCAAGGGACTCTCAGTGACAAGAGAGCGGGGAGATGCTTTAGTTTACTCACAGTCCTTTGAATCATGGCATCTCTTTGACTTACTAATACATCTGCCTATTTTTCTTATTTCAAGGAAATCATTATATTTCTAAAAAAAAAAAGGAAATCATTATATTTCTATGCCATCACCTCAGGTAATGAGGGTCTATTCTCTCATTTAAGAGTAGAAACCTGGGAATAGTGACTGTGAGTGGCTTGTCCAGGACACACAATAGGGAGCCCCAGTAACACTTACAGGAGCCCTGGGATGCTACCCAGAATCCCAGGCTTTATGAGTGTTACTTTTTTCTGACTTCATACAAAATTGGACCTGCCTCTGGCCTACAGAAACAAGGAAGACAGGAAGGATACGTGGGGGCTGAATCAAGGAAGACTCCACATCAGTCATTTAAACAGTGCATCCACCTGACAGTGAGGTCCTCAGACACGCCAGGCCACAGACACTATGCACCTACCACTACCCCACCCCACACACATTACACAGCCTTTTCTTTTCCCAGACAAGCTAGATTCCTACTCACACAGGCACTGAGGAAGTTGGGGAAGTTCTCTTTCATCATCTTCAATAGGTTTTCCTTGGTAATCCTGTCATCTTTTCCAGTATATTCATGAAATAGATTAACCAAGCGAACGGCGGTCTTCTCTGCTTCAGTGTTGCTCATCTTGACTTTCAAAAAGGCTGCAATAAAAGAACACAATAACATTTTCTCTTTTTGTTCCAAAACCACAGTCTGTGGACAAGAAATCAGTGAGGAGGAGTGGATGGAGGAGAGTTTGAGGAACAAGCCTCCAGGGTGCCTGAAGCCTGGGCTAAGGCAGAATGAAAGGAACCGTCTTTTCTTAAATGATGAGGCCAATTTTTCTCAGACTGGGGAGGATGAGACCAAGTCCTGGAACCTGATACAATTCCTAGGGAACTTCTGGAGTAGAGGAAGAAGACTAGAATGGATCTGGGCTATAGTTACTGAAGGGCAGTTAGGCACTAGGATGAATGAAGATACCATGTCTTCTGGCTTCTTGAGTTGAAACATGACCAGAAAGAGAAGCATCAAATCCAGAGGCCAGACTCTCGTTGTTGGTATAGTCTTTGCTCTGCTCCATTCTCCCCACTTAGGAAATCACCTCACACAGTCAGTCTAGATATTAGCTCTAGAATCCTGGGGTTTTGGGTGTCTGGTCCCTGATCATTAAAATATCCCTATTCATCATGAAGTCTCATCTTGATTACAGAGAAGGTCTAGCAGAAGCTTCCACTGTTAGGAACCAGCTGTGCGTGTGGATGAAAAGGAACAGAACATCACACAGGGGAAAACAAAGTGCTTCCTGGAGAACTCCATGAAGGGAAGTAAAAAGCTGAAATACCAACATCTTCCAGGCTTAAAATGAAGAAAAACAACTGCCTGCATTTCTACAGTGAAGATGAAAACGTTGCCCTTTAAATTATCCAATATTAAATATTTTCTACCTTTAGTTTTTCTGTTTAAAGAATAATTTCATGCACTGGCCAACTGTAACTAAACAAGTCAGGCCTCAAAAATGCCATTTCTCCCCACAGCACTGGGAGACAGGTTGTGCTGAACCTGGGGTTTAAGAGGTTAACAATGACCTTCGCTCAAGGCACTCGGGATATATTCTTGGCCCCCACCTGTGGGGCAGCTGCTAACAGACCACTGTCACCTCCCAAAGTGGAAGCCCAGGCTGGATCCTTATGATTACTACGGCCAGGCCAGAATCTGGGTGAAAGTCTTGGAACATGACATTTTCAACAATGAAAAATTATCTTCCCAAGGCAGCTATGACTAGAACCTTACAACTATTCACAGGCCAATTCTAATTCCTTTATCCTACAGAATTTCCACAAGTCACTCTGAAGGACCCTGTACACAAGCGGAAGAATAAGCCAGATGGTAAAGGAAATCAAGAGTAATCCAAGGAGAGACCTTTTACCTATGAGTTCTCAGAAAAACCTCTAACAGGGGACGGGATGTGAGACTTGCCAGGAAAATCTCAAAGTACCGTCCTTGTTGTTGTTGTTGTTATGTGCCAAGGAGTCGCCAAGACCCTATGTACAACAGCCCTAACCACTGCTCTATCCTGTACCAACCTCACCGTCTCCGACACACTCACTCCCACCATCCCAATCACAGAATCGATCCATCTCATTGAGGGTCTTCCTCTCCTGTGCCGCCCCTCGACTCTCCCAAACATGATGTCCCTCTCCAAAGGACCAGTCCCTCCTTGCAACATGTCCAAGTGTGTCAGACAAAGCTTCAGAATCCTTGACTCCCAAGAGTCTGGCTTCACCCTCTCCAGGAAAAACCTTTTTGTTCTCCTAACAGTCTATTGTATATTCAACACTCTTCTCCAGCACCACGGCTCAAAGCCATCAATTCTCTTTCTATCATCCCTAGTCACTGTCCAACTCTCCAATGCACAGCACATAATTGCAAAGACTATAGCCCAGATCAGGCGCACCTTAGTCTCAGCCTGACATCGTTGCTCTTCAGTACTCCTGAGAGGTCCCTCACAGTTGACATTCCCAGAGCAAGAGTGTTGACTGTGGAGCCAAGCAAACTAAAACTGTTAACTATCTCAATCTCTTCCCCATCCATAATGATGCTGCCAGTTGACCCAGTGGTGAGAATCTTTGTTTACTTGATGTTGAGCTTCAATCCGTATTGAAGACTGCAGTCCTTGACCTTCTGCAGCAAGCACTGCAGGTCCTCCTAGTAACAAAATCCAGGCATCCTGACTCACAGACCAGGGTAATGTTCTCCCTCCCTCCTGCAAGAACAAAGAAGTTGGGCATCGAGTACAACACCTAGGAAAAGCGCAAGGCATACTTACCGGAGCTGAGGATGATCAAGAAGGAGAGGATTAGAAGTGAAATGGTGCATCTGGGCACAAAGCAGGCCCTTTATATAGCTCAGCCTGGCATTCCAGAGGCTGGGTGTCCTGTGGCAATATTCATTAGTATTGCTGAAAATTGCTCTATTTTGGGTGGGGAGACACACCCAGGAGATTGCGATCAGAACTTCCTGCCAGATATACCGGGCCTGGAGTGCCTACCGCTATCAAGCTGCATCACCACCAGGATGTCTGTCCAGACTTCTGACTGGAGGAAGTCCTAAGCAAGAGAGGTGTGGGGTAAGATGTCTCAAGGATGACCAAATCTAGGGATTTGAGAAGGAAGAAAACATGTATTTGATCTTTCCCTTAGTGGATAAACAACACTCTACTGATTTCTACATGCAATTCTGAGGAATTTCATGGCCTATTAATGTGTTATTGTTTTGTGCATACTGCCTCAGAGTTCCATGAGGGCCTTGTGAGTTCATAGAGGATTCTCTACCACTGTGAGGCATTATTTTCCCCTTTTACAGATGAATAAATTGAAACTGAGGTTGAGTTTCTCAAGTTTACTGCAATAGAAAACAGCATGGTCAGAGCAAATCAGCTCACTGACACTGCAAGCTCTGCACTTCATTATGCTGAGGCACTGGCAGGGTCACTCTCTGGACTGAGCAAGATGTCACACCCTTGGCCCTGAGAAGTCCACAGACCAGCACAGAAGGTCCCACACAAAACCTTTCACAGGTGCTGCCAAGCAGAGAGCACTGGAGGCTCCTGGGTTGTGGCAACAGTGAATGTGGTCTCCATATTTCACAAAGCCCTACTCATCACATCCCTTCAGACCACAAATCCCACTCTAATAGTTGTCTGTGGAGACCATTGCCCTGAGAACCCAGATTTTCCTTTAGGAAAGCTCATTTTTTAAAAACACCTTTATTGACATCATCTTTCTAGATTCCCACAGGAGGCCTGGGAGGGAAATTGGGATTGCTGATAAAGGAAGGATTGATAACAGTGTAGGACAGTCAGTTGGAGTGTGAGATGTTGGCACTGTCTCACCACACAGGCCCAGAGCATGCATGGTTAATATATAACTAGAGCTCTGTGCTCGGTACCCAGAATACTCACTCACTGTCCTTCTATTTGGGAAAATCTATAGTGGAAAATTATATTTTTTTTCTTCTATTTACTATGTGGGACCCAGATAGGATTAAATTGAGATCTCCATAGAGATTTAGAAAGTGTAGGAGAGGTGGCTGCCAAGTTGGCCCTAACACATGTGAGTGTTTTCGATGTTTGCAACATTCCTCCACTTAGTGTGCATGGTGTCTGTGGTGGGGCCATAGTGGCAGTTGTGATATCAGAAATCTCCTAAATTCTGAGTCAGAGGCAGGAAAGTATACCTTGCAAACAAGAGTCTTGCAGTGAATCTAACTTCCAGTCCTATAATCCTCTAAGGAGTTGTAAATTCTTGAGTTTCTTTATTAGTTTACTATCTTCTTAAAATATATGAGGGAAGGTTTTTTCCTTTTGCACTGTGGTTACCACTGGTGACCACAGACTCTAGGCCCTGAGTGAACTTGGAAACATGGACAAGGTGACGTGTGACTTTGGGTTTCTTATGTAGGCGGGGTGAAGAGGAGTCATAGTATCTTCAGCATCTGTCATCCTCCCCATATGCAAAGCAGCCCATGACAGTCTGTCATGACCAAGTCCCTATTCTCTGAAGTCTTCCAACCTGTTGCAGAAGAGCTGGAGCAGGAAGCAGGCGCTGGGAGGGAGAGTAGGAGAGTCACTGGGGCACACTGATGAGCAGCTGAATTGAATCATTGAGGTGTTTTCTTTTTATTCTTGTCCCAAAATATCCTCATAGAAACAAAGAGATGTTGAGCAATTCCAAATCTTCCTCAGAGTGATTCCTAAATACTATCAAGAAATGCATCAGAGTGGAACTGTAGCGTAGGGGGTGTGTGGCTGCAACCTTTCAGAACCAAATTACCAAATCTTTCTTCCAAAATACCCCTTGGCAACTTTAAACCTCCAATTCTCTGGTCAGTAGCTAGCTGTGGATCAGTGAGTTTCTTAATATGGATATAAATCATGCTGAAGATTATCAAAAGACAATTGGAAGAGTACATCGACAGAGAACTACCAGAAATATAAACTGGGTTTAGAAGAGGCCATGGTATTAGGGACATCACTGACAAGTGTCAAATGGATCTTGCCTGAAAGCAGAGAGTATCAGAGGAATGTCTATTTGTTTCATTGATTATGCAAAGGCATTTGACTTTGTGGATCACAAAAATCTTTGGCCGGCTCTGAGAAGAATGGGAATCCCTGAACCCCTGATTGTGCTCATGTGAACCCTAAACTTTGACCAGGAAGCATGCCTCAGAACAAATCAAGGAAATACTGCATGGTTCAAAATAAAAAATGGAATGCATAAGGGATGATGTATCTTTTCTCCATATCTTTCCAATCTATATATGAAACAGATAAAGGCTGGACTGTATGAGGAGGAATGTGGCATCAGGATTGGAGAAAGACCAATCAACAACTTGTGTTAAACATAACACAACCTTCCTTGCCAAACTGAGGAGGATTTGAAGTGTTTGCCGCAGAAGGTGAAGAACTGCAGTCTTCAATACGGATTGACGCTCAACATCAAAATAAAAAAAGATTCTCATCATTGGGCCAATTGGCAGTACCCTAACAGATGGAGAATAATTGAGATTCTTAACAATTTCAGCTTGCTTAGATCTACAATCAAACTTCTTGGTACCAGCAGTAAGGACATCAAAAGGTAAAT